AAGTATTCTACAGTATTATAAATATAAAAATAAATTCATGGTTGTGGAATCATTTTATTTAGTACTCGCAGTATTGGTGATGGTATTTTTACCCAATGCATTATGCGATCATACAATACCCGAGTGATCATGATCTCAGTTTATCAGTTCTGAAGGTTTGTTTACTTTGAGATGCAAATTTGTATGATTGACAGCAGACGAAACATTATCATGCCCGAACTATTTTCAGGTTGGCAGAATTGAAACTGTAATATTTTGTTTATTTAACAGCGATAAAATCAAAGATTATATAGCATCTAAAAATCTAATAAGTATAATATGTAATAATTTCTACATAATTTGTCATTAAAATTTGCCTGTTGTATAATTTAGTACTAACTTTGCTGATTAGGTCAAAGGTGAAATTAGCTGTATTGGCCAATCACATCAGACTTAAAGTGTGACGTCACTTTTAAAGTGTGTAATACCAAAAATATCACACGGGTGTTATTACACCGAAAGTGCATGATACATGTGATAAACACTTTTATAATTTTACTTAATAATAATATCTTTTTATTTCGTACTGTGGCCATTGGCCTTGTGTACAGATACAAATAAATACGTAATAAATTTGATTGGAATGGTCGCAAAATAAGTAAAGAAAAACAAATATAAAATCATAATACATAAAATGTGAATAATTAAGTGTTCTCTCCTAGCATTAGTTGTCGTACTTGAAAGCTATAAAATATAAATTTACCAAGGTTTAATTGTAAATATGGGTTTTGATTCTGAAATAATGAAATTAACTGCATCTCTGTAGGGGAGTAGTAATACTGTGCAATAAACTTTTTACTTTTTTTAGTACCGGTAACAATCAAAATCCCACAGGAGATAAAAAAACTAATATTTTTTTATTATAACACAGTTACTTACTTTTGTCATCTTTTCCAGTTGCATACTTAGATATTACATTCTTCAACGAAAAAGCATTGCCAAGTTTGACTGGAGGGTGCTTCATTGGTGGATACTCTGCTGGTGATGCTATAAATACTGTTGGTACATCATTTACATATGGTAGAGTAATAAATACAGGTACAGGAGATGATCTACCAAATGTGACTTATGAAAACTTCAATGGTTATACGAAACGACTCCACTTACCTATAGGCACAGGTAAACCCGGTGTATATTACTGTAATACTTCAGATGTGTCAATACAAACAGTACAAGTATCATCACAAGGTGAGTAGATCAAACCATAACAGCAGATAGATACACTGAGGCCTTGATACATTTTATCTTTTCCTTAGATCAGATTGGCTGACTGGTTTAACAAATGCTGTTCTCATGCAACACAAATACATGTACACAAAAATGCACAAATAAACCAGCTCCAGTTTGTAGCATGTCTGTCAATGTGGGTGTCAATTAAAACAAATAGTAAAGACATGAATGTCTTATATCTGCCATCAATCAACCAGCAAGAAATGTAACATCACTCTATTTATTAGAAATGTAACATCACTTTATTTATTTAGTTGTCAATATGGGTATCAATTGAAACAAATAGTTAACGCACTAGAAATGATATGCGAGAAAAGTAGGGGGATCGAGAGCCTAAGCGTGCAAGCGTCTTAGCCGTCTATTCCATGATATTGGTCGCCTTTGACCAACATCATGGCAAGGACAACGTGGTACTTGAGTGAGGGCGCCACTAAGGGTACTCCGTGTGTAGGCGTCATTGAGGCCTATGTCCCGCGGCAAGTCGTAACTTCCAACTCATAAATAAATCGAATACATGTGAATGCGATGGTTATGTGAAGCACATACAGATAATAAATGACAAGATCGAGGCATGTGTGTATAAGCACAAGTGTTCTGCTTGCCAGTTGCAAGAATTGGTGTGCAATGTTCAGCGATGTTGAGCAAGCGTTGCTGGTACTTTACGAATGATGTCAGTTGGTGTGGTAATGTACAGCTGATATGCGTCACTACACCATCGTCCCAGAACTTTTATCAGCCATTCAGGGAGGTTGGCCTCAGCAGCTGTTGTTGCTGCACCACTGCGGAAGCTGTGACTGGCGTAATTAGACACATTTGGAACTTCTGTTCGAAGGAGTAGATCCTGAAGGTGATATGTTACAGCTTGATGTATAAGGAATTTGCCGTTCGTGAAGCAGAATGCTGGTGCTTTGAGGGCTGCCGGGTTGTAGTTGCGGAACACGCGAACGGCACAAATAGATGACTGCGTAGGTGCAATGATGATGACTTGGCCACGGCGAAACGGGTCTGTATTAGAGACTTTAATGGTGACGATAAGATCATCTGTGAGCTGTACGTCTGAGCCGAGAAAGGTACTATCATTGTCAAATGTTGAAGCTGATGTGGCACTGAACTCACTAACTCGTAAAAACCCGAAAAAAGCTAAGGTGAACGCAGACCACAGCATTAGTTAGTCATTGACATGAATCGCAGGGTGCAACCTAAGCGCATTCTTGATTTTACGCATCAGTGTCATTGTGATTGGCAATCTTGGGAAGTGGGGTCACCGTGATCACGTTTGATGCCTTGTAGTACATGGCGCAGCATGTCGTTAGATGCAATGTCCTCAGTGTGTCCAGTTTCGGCATTGAGGCTGACAATAGCGGCAAGGTAGACTTTGATAGATTTGTAGACTAGACCCTCCATGGCGAGATGTGTGACGAATAGTGGAAGCCGCGGTGTCACGGGTATGGGCGTTAGCCTGTGTTGTTGGCAGAAGAGACGGTATCTGGACTGACCTGATGAATAGGTGCGTTGTGTTGCTGCCGAGAGGCGATGGAGCATAAATTGGTGGGCTTGTTGCTCAAGTCTAGTTACTGTTGTAGGTAGTAGCTGTCGAGGTCTGGCAGTGTTACTGGTTCTGTTGCTGCATCTGGCACCAGTTGGCGAAACAGTTTGATCTGCAAACGAGACAAAGAGTCAGCAATTGAATTGTTAGTACCACGAATATGTGCGATCATGACGTGGAAGTTGCCATTAGCTGCAGTTGTAGGGTGGGTGGGAGTGAGTAAAACTTGAGACTATGTGGACTACGCGGAAAGCAAGAGACGAATGAGTGGTGTGTCAAAGGAAAGGGACGCTAACAATGTAGGCATGTAATTGGTAAATGAGGATGACATAAGGGATAAAGCCAAGGATAGGCTGAGAATGTGGACATAACAAGTCAGGGGTCATGACTGATGAATATATGCGTAATAAGGTAAACATATAACAAAGGGTAGAGAAATACCACAGATAAGGAATCGGGTCAGATTGGTAACAATGACAAGGGAAATTGCTAGTGACAAGAATGAAGAATGCTCATTTCCAGGCGTTAACACCAATTAAAGACTGCGTATTTAATTGTGACATTAATGCCCAAGAAATGACACAGAGACAGGTATTGGAGGAAAAAGTCGAGGGGGTATGACCTCACTTGCGAAAGCGTCTTAGCCGCCTATGTCATGATCTAGGTCGCCAGTGACCAAGATCATGACAATGACAGCGTTGTGCTCGAGTGAGGCAGCCACCTGTGGGGACTCGTGTGCGTAGGCGTCATTGAGGTCTCATCTCCCTTGGCGTTTCGGTCATATTCGACTCGCCTCAGAACATATCTGCCATCAATCAACCAGCAAGAAATGTAACATCACTATATTTATTTATTTATATATTTAACACTTTATTTAACTCTTTATTTAACACTTTAGTTATTTAATACTTTATTTAACACTTCATTTAACACTTTATTTAACACTTTATTTAACTCTTTATTTAACACTTTATTTAACTCTTTATTTAACTCTTTATTTAACACTTTATTTAACACTTTAGTTATTTAACACTTTAGTTATTTAACACTTTATTTAACACTTCATTTAACAGTTTATTTAACACTTCATTTAACTCTTTATTTAACACTTTATTTAACTCTTTATTTAACACTTTAGTTATTTAACACTTTATTTAACACTTCATTTAACACTTTATTTAACACTTTAGTTATTTAACACTTTATTTAACTCTTTATTTAACACTTTATTTAACTCTTTATTTAACACTTCAGTTATTTAACACTTTATTTAACACTTCAGTTATTTAACACATTATTTAACTCTTTATTTAACACTTTAGTTAACACTTCATTTAACAGTTTATTTAACACTTTATTTAACTCTTTATTTAACTCGTTATTTAACTCTTTATTTAACACTTTATTTAACTCTTTATTTAACACTTTAGTTATTTAACACTTTAGTTATTTAACACTTTATTTAACACTTCATTTAACACTTTATTTAACTCTTTATTTAACTTTTTATTTAACACTTTATTTAACACTTTATTTAACTCTTTATTTAACACTTTAGTTATTTAACACTTTATTTAACACTTTATTTAACACTTTATTTAACTCTTTATTTAACACTTTATTTAACTCTTTATTTAACACTTTATTTAACACTTTATTTAACACTTTATTTAACACTTTATTTAACACTTTATTTAACACTTTATTTAACACTTTATTTAACACTTTATTTAACACTTTATTTAACACTTTATTTAACACTTCATTTAACACTTCATTTAACACTTCATTTAACACTTTATTTAAAAAGGGTAGGCCAATGTACAATAAAGTAATTTTTATTGGGCCCTCTGTATAAACAAAATACACACTATAGACTTGAGCCATTTACAAAATTTTTTTCACAAAGATATATTTTGTAAATTTTCTTAAAAATGCCTAATGAGGCTGAATTTCTTATATGGGATGGTAAGTTATTCCATAGGGTTATCCCTCTATACTGAAACGTCCTCTGGCCCATGGATGTTTTCCCGTTTAATTTTTCCATAAATTATTTTT